CACAATGAATATGTCGGTCCTTTAAACATGCGACTTCAAAACATTTCGTACACAAAACGGCTAAAAAGTCTTTTACATTTAATAAACAATTAAGACAACAGTAAATTACAACTATTTCTCTTAAGGAACTTATAAATTTGTATTTTAAAGTATTAATGTATTATGTATTAACCATACTTTTAGTTCATAATGATTTATGTGAACTAATGATTTGTGTGAAATAAATGGCCAAATTTACCAAATTCACCCAGTTCATGTTTTACTGTAAATATATATTTACAACTTATATATATCAACAGAAAGGTATGGAGTAAAGGTATATAATTTTAAATATATTTTCAAATTCGGGCTTAATTAGAAAAGGTTATTTTAAAAATAAGAAATTTGGTCATAATTGTACACGTTTTTTATTACAAATAAAGTAATCATTTTACTCCACTTACATCAATTTTAATTAATTACATTGAATAAATGTAGTACGCAACATTTAACATAATAAAGTTATAATATCAATATATTAAATTATAATATTTAATATAAACAGTTTTATATAATTAATGAATTTAGTTTTTTAATTATTTTCAATCTTATATTTGATTTACGTCTAATATATTGATAACCAAATGCATAAAGTGTATTGATTGTTAAAAGAAATATGACCAACATACACTTAATGTAATCATGTTTTATCCTAACAGAGTTAAAGAAGAACTCAAGACATACAACATTTAAACAAATTAACTTTAATATGATTAAATAATTTGAATTATATATAATTTTGTCTAAAACACGTTGATCAGTCTTAAAATTAATTATGGTGGCGTTAATTTCATAATATTTATTTGGCGGCACTGAATTTATCAATATTAATCTACTATACATGTATATTAAGATATTATTGTATTTGAAATTAATGTCTAACACAAACATTTGCAACCATATAAGCCAACTAAACGTGTAGAATAATGTTAAGGCAGCATGGTGATGAAAACGGATTACCAAGTTGGGCACGCAGAAAAAATCATCCAGAAAATCGTCGTATAGTACCATGGCGTTCAGTAGCGGATAAACAATCAAATTCACCATAATGTATATTATTGATGGTATGTGTTTATTGGCAATCTTATAGTTGTTGTAATATTTAAGTAAATCAGTATTTATTTCATTTATTATTTTGGTGTTTAATTTTATATGAATATATGAAACGAGGAATAAAATAAATATTATAATCGTGATTATTTTTACAATTATCTCCCATATATTTTGAGTATATATTAGTGTTATTAACGTTACTATTAATAAACACGTTTGAGTTGTCAAAGCAATTCCGGTGAATATATTATTTGTCAGTTTTGACGGATAGTTTATGCCAAACGGGATACCCAAGTATTTAATCATGGTCAGAAATTATTAATGTTAGTCAATAACTATTAACAATAATTATTATTAAAGAAGTTATTATATAACAATTATATATATTATAAATACAGTTAAAGTTAGATTAATAAAAGTTAAATAAAATACAGAATTATAATATAGCAATAGGTTAGCACATGACAATTCTATTCAATGTACATACATTTGTTACTTTAATCATATTATAATATAATACAATTAAAATGAGTAAAATATATTAAAGAAGCATTAACAATAATGAACTAACTTAATATGAATATTAAACAGCTTAATACTGTATTAATATATACATGATCACCAACAAGTAACTAAGGTAATGAATTATAAATCATACGCACTGTTTCGCATTTATGACATTTATACATCTTAATCAATAAATGTTTTTAACAAAATTAAGTCATAAACTGAATAACAAAACATAATTGAAAACATGGTATAAATATAATATGATTTCTATTTTAATAAAACATTTTTACTAATTGAAAATAGTGTTAAAACTCATTCATAGTATTTCATAGCACTTGATATAAAAATCGCAAAAATTAATGTTTTTCAGTAAGTTCAAATACATTTTTCAATGCTTAAGTTGAATGTCATAAATGAGTTTTAACATTATTTTCAACAGCTAAGAATGTTTTACTAGAATAGAAATCATATATTGTTCAAAATGTATTATAATATTCTTGGAATTTAAATGTTTTTTGTTTGTAAAGAACTAAATGTTTACATGTTTTTGATAAATCTATTATATAATATATTTTTAAATTTTAAGTTCAATAAAATTGTGAAATTTTTTCAAAAGATTGTATTTAATATATACAAATAAATAAAACATATGAAATATAATTTATTTTAAGACATTTTAACCTATTATATATTTATTATAACTTTGTAAATTTATATATACATGTATATTAAAAACTAGACTGTATTTAAATTACGTAAGAACTTACTTTACACTTAATAAATAACAAATATATTTTAAAAACAAATAAATTTTATAAATGATTTAATATAAAAGTACTTTATAACAGAATTTATAATATACAGTATGTAATATCTTTAAGTATACTAAAACCTTTGTTTTTTAAACTTTGTTATAATTTAACGATAAAAATTACAAATATCAGTTTTATGATTCTAAAACTAAAACTATTGTAAAAAACTAAGTTTTTCTATATTATTGTAAATTCTTATAAATTAAAATTTTGTAATTGTTTAATATAAAACCAAAAATTATATTATAAAGTTTTATATAATGTTAATTGTTACAGTAATTGTTACATCAATTAAATGTAGCAAACAACAGTTAACATAATAAAGTTATAATTTATTGTATTGAAATATTATTATAATTTTTATAAACAGTTTTATATAATTAATGAATTTAGTTTTTTAATTATTTCAAATCTTATATTTGACTTTCGTGTAATATATTGATAAGCAAATGTATAAAGTGTATTGATTATCATAATAAATATGACCAACATACATTTAATGTAATAATGTTTTACTCTAACAGAATTAAAGATAAACTCAAGACTTACAAGATTCATAATGATTACCATTAACATGATTAAATATTTTAAATTAAATATAATTTTATTTAAAACACGTTGATCAATTTTAAAATTATTTATGGTGGCGTTAATTTTATAATATTCATTTGGCGGCACTATATTTATCAATATTAATCTATTATACATTTGTGTTAAGATAGTATTATATTTAATATAAACATCTAACACAAACATTTGCAACCATATAAACCAACTAACAGTGTAGAAAAATGTTAACGCAGCATGGTGATGAAAGCGGATTACCATGTAGGGCACGCAGTAAAAATTATCCATTAAATTATCATATATTGCAATAGCGTTTAATAACGGATAAACAACCAAATTCACCATAATGAATATTATTGATGGTATGTTTTTGTTGGCAATCTTATACTTCATATAATATTTAAGTAAATCAGTATTTATTTCATTTATTATTTTAGAGTTTAATTTAATATGAATATATGAAACGAACAATAAAATAGATAAAATCATCGCGATAATCTTCATGATTACCTCCCATATATTCTCAGTATAAATAAATGTTATTAATGTCAATATCATTAAACATATTTGAGTTGTCAAAGCAATTCCGGTAAATATATTACTTGTCAGTTTTGACGGGTAGTTTATGCCAAACGGTATACCCAAGTATTTAATCATGGTCATAAATTATCAGTGATGGTCTATAATTATTAACAATAACTATTAGTAACAAAATTATTATATAATAATTATATTTATCATTAATACAGTATTGTTAAATATTGTGTTACATACATATACAATACATCTACAGTTATGGTTAGGTTAATACAAGTTATGGATAATAAAAATACAAAATAATAATATAGCTATAAGTTAGCACATGACAATTCTGATCATTATACATAAATTTAATACTTTAATCATATTATAATATAATAAGATTAAAATGAATACTAAGAATAAAGAAGCATTAAAAATGATAAACTAACTTAATGTGAATATTGAACAGTTTAGTATTGATAAATACACGATCACCAACAAGAAACTAAGGTAATGAATTATACTGTACAGTATAAACATCATGCACTGTTTAATATTCATGAAATAGGAAGCTCTTCAATCTGACTAAATGAAAGTTTTTAACATAGTTAAGTTGTAAACTGAATAATACGTATAATCGAAAACATGCTTAAAATATTTTGTTTAGTATTTCGCAATATTCTTAGAATTATATATGTTTAATTTAATGTATATTATTCCATATCCTTGGTTAATCAATTACACTGTGTAAAATGTATTAAAAAGTCAGAATATATCTCTAAATTTACTAGTCAATAGAATAGAGAATTTTTTCAATAGAATATTCTAAATACATGTAAATAAATATAGTTCAATTTAAAACATTCTTTATTAATTAAAGCCTTATAGTATACATGCTGAACTAGAATGTAGTGCACATGAACTTAATATTATTTTACACTTACTAAATATAAAGTATATTTTTAAAACTAACAAATTTAAATTTATTATGGAATAAGACTTATTATATAAAACCTTATGCGTGTAGTAAACACTTTAATAACATCATTAAAATATCAAGCATATAAAATAAGCTTATGATTTAATAGAAAGGTTCCTGATAAAACAATAAGATAATACTTATTATATTTTTAATTGTTATATTATTCAGTTATTAATAATAAGTACAGTAAAGGCAACACATTAAATGTATTATGATTAAGCTATTAATAATAGCCTATTATAAATGAATTAAAATTAGACGAATAAATCTAATTTAAATTATAAATTGCATTTAAATTAAATTATATTTAATCTACAATAATATTCTTTGAATATATAATATATTTATTTATAGGCTTAATGATCGTTGATTACTTTATAACATAAGTTATATTTCATAATTATTATTAATATTTAATTTGAATTTAATGAATATAAAAAGGATATATTTAGTCTATAATTATGATAGTTTATTTTAAGTATAATACATTAATTATACAAATATAACAATAATTAAATGCCAGTTTCAATCCTGATCCACGAGCGAAGTTGACCAATACGGGCGTAAACACCAGGGTAGTCTGGCAATGCACATTCTTTGCCCCACGAAACCAAACCGACCAATTGGTTTTTATATTTCAACGGACCGCCAGAATCGTTCTGGGTGAATACATTAAATTAACAATAATTATTGTATAAACATGCACAAGCAAACTAAATGACCAATATAAAAACTAAATTATATTTAATATAGATTAAAATACATTAATCTGACTAATGAAATTTCAAACAGGGTAATTTAATTGCACATTTACCTGGCACGCGTCTTTGTTGCCCTCGGTGAAACCGGCGCACAGCATACTATCGGTGATGGGCATCAGGTCTTTAATCTCGTCATAGTTCACCTGACACTTGTCTCGGCCGACAACCGGCACGTCTAGGGTTTGTAAGTTTTCGGGGTAAATATTTTTACCGTTTTCCAGACGGCCCCAACCGACCACGGTCACTATTTCACCAGCGGGCACCTCTGATCCATCGTCAGCCAGCTCTATGATATTGGAATCAGAAGTGCCTAGTTCAAATTCGCCCTCGATTTTGAGTAGAGCCACGTCGTTATCATACCTGCCACGTAAATTGTAGTCTTTATGTATGATAATCTGGGTTAGTTTGTAGTCTTTACCGCCACTTGATTTAGTCACTGTACCGCACCGTAGGCTACGGTCCGCGGGATCCACTCTATAAGCATGTTAAGTAATATGTTATGATAATTATTAAAATAATCATGATTAAACTGGTCAATTGATTATTAGCAAATTACTAGTGACAATAGTATTTAAGATCTCTCTCTCTCTCCCATACAAAGCACTTACCCATTAACACAATGTGCGGCAGTGATGGCCCATTTGACGCCTATGATCGATGCCCCGCATCCGTGTGCCGACGATCGGAGTGAACACATGTGCGGATTATCGCCTCTCTTGGCGTCTGTGCCGCCAATTATTGACGGCCTGACAGGACTGTCGTCCCCATCGGCCACACATATAGTCACACATAATAACAATAGTATTGCATGTAATTTAGACATCATGCTTTCAGTTTATAATTATAACAAGGGCAGTGTATTTATACCTACATTACACTATTTATAACAATTTGTAATTTACAAAAGGGGTAATATTTTGTTGATAAGTTATAAATAATAATCTTTTAAATCATGGTTTATTTGACATTTTTGTTACACATTAAGACTGTACTATACTCTATGTAAAATGTTTGTTCATCCTGGTATACAATAGCTAATTACTGATAAAATTTAACTTAATAATTTATAGCTAATATAAATGAGCAATTATAATAAATAAAGGTCGTAATCAATTATAATAAATATAACGGATTTCATTAAAGTAAATTATTATTCAATTGCCCATAGATAATAAAAGCTACGGTAATATGTAATCCTCCATGTAATAAACGCTAATAAATATTTTACAATAGTAACCTTGCTGTGTTTTAGGTTGTGTTATAAAAAATAAGAACATTGTCCTTTACATTTTATAACATTCAAAATCACGCATTAATTTATACATGTTTATAGACATTAAACGAGGTATAAATTAAAAGCGCAGATTGTTTTTATTTTAGGCATTTCTCGGAAAACTAATCTCAAAATTAATGTCATTTTAATAACCATGATAATATGCCCACAATATTGATAAACATAATTTAATATTGTTTTATTCTATTTATTGTAAGACAAAAAGATTAAACTTATTAAATATAACATAACATTATATAAAAAAGTTATTTGTAATTGGAATCAAATCTTGAGATTAATAACTGGTAAGGTTATAATTCAGATATCATGCGGATATTTTAACCCAGTAACGTTTAGTAGAGTGACCATCCATTCACTTTCTTCGACTCAAACATTTTAACAGCTGCGGCCACATAAGCGCCCGACGTATAGCCCACATACTCTTTACGTGTTTGACTAACAATTATTACAATATAATATAAAAAAATAATAAAAGTATTTTTCATGATTATAATAACAACTATTAATATAACTTATCAAACAAATAAATAAATTCAAACAATTACTCTGGATATTTAAGCCCCGTGTCATTGAGTAGAGTGACCACCCAGGCATCAGCGGGCACCTGACCCGACTCTAACAACTTGACAGCTGCGGCCACATTAGCGCCCGACGTATAGCCCACATACAGACCCTCTTTACGGGCCAACAGATCCCTGTATTTGACGGCCTCGTCGTCCGTCACACTCACCGTCCCATCCATTGTGTCGTAAGTGAATAGATTGGGAACCACTCCATAGCCGGAGCCCTGCAATAGGTGCCGGGGTTCAGCAATGGCCAGCCCTTTGATAGTCTGAGCGCCGGCCGGTTCGGCCACAACACAGACAATGCCGGGGTTTTGTCGCTTTAAATACCGAGAAATGCCCATAAAAGCACCGCCAGTGCCTACACAGGCCACGAAAGCGCCCACTTGTCCGGCCGTTTGGCGCCATATCTCCGGTCCAGTGGTCTCTTCGTGCGCCCGACAGTTGTTCGCGTTGTTGAACTGATCCACATAATAGGCACCGGGAGTTTCGGCCACCAGTTGCTGAGCTAAAAGCTCTGTCTCTATGGCATCGGCCTGAGTGACGCTACCGGGTCTGCCCTCCACCTGCGGGGCCAGCACTACCCGCGCGCCCAACGCCCGCATCATAACCGCCCGCTGAGGGCTATTGCCCGCAGACATGGCTATAGTCAACGAGTGACCCAATACGGCCGACACCACTGCCAGACCGCAGCCCTGATTACCGCTCGACATCTCAATGATCGGGCCGTTGGGCTGAAGTGTTCCCCTTTTGAGCGCCCGAGTAATCATTGATAATGAGGTCCTGTCCTTAATGCTGGCCCCGGGGTTCATGAACTCGCACTTTGCGAGCATACGTCCCGGTCCGGGCCATAGCCGGTCCAATGCAACCATTGGTGTGTTTCCGATCAGTTCCAGAGCCGACTCTTTGATGTCTGTCTCGTAGTTTGTTTTGGCCATTGATTATGACTGCAATAAATGAAGTATTTGTTATAAATTATAACTTTTTTAGTTTATATCTTAAGTTAAGTGTAGTTTATATTTTATAATAAAATGTTTTAAACATAAATTAAATTAATTTTGTATTTATACTTTTCATTTGTAATTTATGTGTAATT